GGTAGTAGAACTCCCCTGGATTTTCACCTCTGTGACCAAAGGATCTTAGAAAATTACCATTACTGTCAAACACTTGGGCACAATGATTCCAATCGTCAGCTACTACTGCACGACTAAATTTTCAGTTGATGGAAATGCGATATGGTTATTGCAAGTCAGTTAATGTCCTCAATCCCTTTTTAAGTTTGTCCACTTAGTGAAGGTGTTTTAATTTAGAATAGGTTACTCAATATAATTAATGAAAATAGACATGTTACGTTGATTGGACTTTCGAGTCTGAGAACCAAATCCTACACAAAAGTAAGACCATTCAAATGAAACCTCTTCATTATAACTTTGGTATTGCACTGCTATTGATCGCATGAAAGTTTTCTTACTTGAGCCGGAACGACAACTAGTCGAAGAATGCTTGCTATTTTTATGTTCAATCTTAGAACAGCCCCCATCCCATCCTATTCCCCACCATCACTGTTTTCTTCCTAGCTATAGTGCCATCAACCAGATTAAAAAAGAAACACAAACGAACTTAAAGCGGACAAGAGAAAAGAAAAAAGATCGGGTAAGCTGAGTGAAAGAAATGGTTTCATTCCCGGGGGTTCTCATGGAAAACTTGGGTGTGGTTGTTCCGCTGGGGCTTGGCACCACCACCCCTTCAAAGACGCACAAATTCAAATAATTTGCTACCCCAGTTATACACCCCATCCCCGGGACCCCATCTCAGCCCAGAAGTGAAAAGCATGTCTTTATTTCAGCAGGTTTTCTTCATATTCCTTCAAAACTGTTATATTCTTGCACATTTAAAATGGCCTCATGGGTATACTCAGAAATATACAATACATCTATCGACAATAGGAAAGCTACACCCCGTTCAAAAACCCATAGTAGAACAACTAAGAATAAAGGTATAGTCTGCATTTGGGCTACAGAAAGTGTGTTCTTAGACCAGAGCTTAACCCAGTTTCTGTGGCATGAAGTGCATGAATGGAAATATTTCTAATCCCTCTGGACGGGATTCCATTCCATCGATTGCAAGGTTCACCCAGCGTTGATTAAGCTGCGGTTCCCACGAATAAACCTGCTGGGGTGAGGCTCTGATAAGAACCCACCAAGAGCGCGAGCGCGAGGAGGGCGCCTTTCTCCGTCGAGTTCGTCTCGCGCTCCACTGCCGCCTCGTTCTGTCCTTTGTTTGCCTCAAAAGCGCGAAAAGAAAATGCTAGTTCTGGACGTTACTTTCCACGTGTACGCAAGCCTCAGTCACGATGACTTCTCAAAGATATTACAAAAGTCCTGTTCCAAGGGTGGCTAACAGGGGGAGCTAGCTGTTTATTTCTGGACTACCTAAGTATCTCTCGTGAACGTGAAATAATGTATTATTCTTGGTCTTGTAGATGATAGAATGGATGAATAATTGCTTGATTCATTTTATGATTTTTTTTTTCTAGTTAGCGCTTAGAACACGACCAACTTTTATGTTTGGGTATTGTGAGGTTCGAAGCATACGAGTTCTGCTGTAAACGGACAATTATATGCCAATGACAACGTTCATTTTTTTATTACAATGTGACTTAACTTGCCTATACTGTTACAAGCTTTTACATGAGGTCTATATTGTCCTTCTCAAAGATGTCTTCAAGGATTACTTATACTGACTACACAAGGGTTAAGTCAAAACACAATGGTGACAATAGTGTTCAGTTGTATATTTATATTACATAACTAATTACCTTTCTTTCTGGAAAATAACAAAGTTTAGCCAAGTTGCTCTATCCATCCTCTTATAACTACGTTTGACTCACTCGTATCACTCGATACTAAAGCAATCAGACGAGACAATGCTCCAAGGCGCACCCATTTATGCGAACCTTCTAACTTCCAAAAATGTTTGCGAAACGTTCAAAATTAAACTCTAATGAAAATACCAAATTTTGATTAAGTGGTATAATCCAGTAAAATGATGTGCCCTTTCTCAGATTGGAAATTGAAATAAAGATGGAGATGCTTTCTTACTCTTCTAGGAACAATGGTCAGATTTCATTTAAATATTTGAACTCGATTATTTTTTTTATCAGACACAACAATTTGATCATTACTTAGAACAGCTACTGAGCGTGGCTCATCAAATTCTCCTAACGTGCTGCCTTTTGTACCGAATTTACCTACAAACTTTCCATCTAGTTCAAAGACTTGTATTCTATGATTACTCTCATCACAAACCAACAGGTGCGTTGACTGAGTCACTGACAGAAAACATGGCCAACTAAACTCCCCGTCCCCTTTGCCGGACTTACCAAACTTGTACTGAAAATGCCCCTCCCTGTTAAATACTTTGATACAGTGTTCAGAGGCGTCTGACACTATGAAATATTCACCACACTGAACACAGCTCATATTACAACTAAATGAACTCTGTCTACCAATTTTCATTACAAACCTACCATCCGGGGTAAAGACCTTAATTAGTTTGTTACCTGCATCAGCAACAATTACATTACCAGCACTATCTAAGGTTAAATCCCGAGGACTAAGAAATTGTCTATCAAGGATTCCTTCCTCGCCAAATGAACTCAGGTGCCTCCCCTCCCAACTAAAGATCTGTACTCTCTGGTTTCGATTGTCGGCTACGAAAATATTTCTATCCTTGTTAATAGCAATTCCGTTAGGGTTTTTGAACTCTCCAGCATTTTGACCTTCCTGGCCAAATGATCTTAAGAAAGTACCATTACTGTCAAACACTTGAACCCGATTGTTTCCACTGTCTGCTACCACTATTTCGTCCCTATCATTCACTGCCACCCCTGAAGGATTATTTAACATTCCATCACCCGAGCCTTTCTTTCCAAAAGATAAAACAGGTTGGACATGAAATGGTTTTACTATCACAGTAAAAGGACTGCAATGAATATGTTCCCCGTTTACCTTAACTAAAAGTTTGAATGTCCCTTGAACTCTGGGAAAATAAGTGATGCTGTAAGTGCCATCCTTGTTGTCGTCTATTCTCACTTCCTTCACGCAATCACGTTCTTGCTCGTCCTTGAACTCTACCGTAACACGATCCTGTTCATCGTACCACTGCTTCCTCTCTGCGTTTCTTGTGATCAAATTGAATTGAGCTTTACGCCCAACAATGACTTCTTTGAGTCCTTCATCTTTAGCCAGAGATTCGCTTGGTTTTGTTCGGTGCACTTCTTCCAAGGATCCAACGTCTTCTGCGTTGACAACATCGAGCATCTTTTGATTTTCTACAAAAACAAAAGCTTTCAGACTACCGGGGTCATGAACAATAGGCTCGGTTTGATCAACTCCTTGAAAAATTGTCTGCAGTGTTTTTTTAAGCTGAACAACTTCTGCGGTGGTGCTTCGTTTTAAAAGTTTATCAGCTTCCTCCAGAGATGATTCAATAACATTTATCTGACGCTGAATCTCACCTCTTTTTGCTGTTAAACTTTCAATTGACCTCTTCGTTTGGTTTTCCACCTCGTCAATAATATTTTGCGTTTTTGCTTGAATTGTTTTTATCAACCCATCAGCAAATTTTTGGACATTGCCCTTTAAAGTCTCGCTCTGATGAATCACTTTAGCGTAATCTTCATCTAGCTTAGCGACAACGTTCATTTTTTCGTCTAAGTTGTGTCGTCGTGTTTCAATAACAGTTTTAATCTCGAGTCTTTGATTCTCAGCTTCTTCCTCGATCAGCGTCAGCTTATGACCATTATGATCTAGCATTACGCAAGTTTGACAGACTGCTGTCTCACATTCCTTACAAAATAATTTTAGCTTCTTCTTTTGGTGTCCTTGTCTTGAACAAAATACTGGTCGCTTTAATACATCCTCATAGTCCTTGTCTTGAAAATCTTTTACGGCCAAAACGCGGTGTTCCTTCTTGTCTCGCATGATGTTATGACCGATTAAACATTCTTCGCAATAAAATATGCAACACTGGAAACAATACGATGCTACTGAAGTCTTCTGGTCGCAGTTTCCGCATTTGACTTGCGTCTTGCTGTATTCTTTAATGGCAAGAACATCGATTAAGCCGTTAAGATAAAAGCTGGTTGGAAGGTCTTTAAGATCACCGCTTGCCGGAACTTGGCTGAGGGTTTGGCACTTCGGACATCTAATGGCGTCTCCGCCGCCGCACGTTTCGTACCATCCTTTCAAACTCTTTAAGCAGAAACTGTGCAGACAGGAGAGATGTTTAGGATCCGTGAATAAGTCCGAACACACCGAACAAGACACTTCTTCACGAAGATTGCGAAACAAAGTTGTAAGGTCCATGATGTCGTCAACCACAGCCGTGTCCCTTGAAGCAGTTCACACTGAACAATGAAGTCTTGTGATCGTCTATGTTTAGCGTTTCTCGGAATCTTAAAAGAGAATGAACCAATCAAAGAGCCTCGTTGTGAGAGGGTTGTTATTGTTTTCGTGGTTTAAGATTCCCAGAAATGAAACCTCCCGGGTTAAGATCGGTGCGATAAAATGCGTGAACTGGATGATATCTCAAATTTAAACAGATACTCTCTTGGTAGGATTGAAAATAATTGCAAGATCCAGTAACAATTAGACTTACTTCAGAAACATTATGACCTGAGTAGCAAATATGCACCAGACAATCAAGCCTTGTAGCTTTTTATCTTCTAAGGAACCAATCATGGAACGCTGTTGTTAGAGTCCCGCCATGTCGCGCCAGCTTCAGCGCGTGAGTACCGTAATTGACAATCCTTTTCAAATCTGAATACAAAACAATGGTTAATAACAAAGTGAAATCTGTGAAGCCTTTCTAAAGCACGATCAGAGCGTGAAACCACAGCTTTAAAAGATGCAATTTGAATTTTAATACTGCGCATTGTCTAGTAGTTTGTGAGTAGTAAGCATGATAAAGGGAACAGGAACGATATATCGATTTGTGAAAGTCCCAAAAGTGACAAACATCAATTTTCTTTAACAATATCAATACACAATCAAGAGATAAGCTTTGAGAATTAATAAAAAATATCACCAAA